AGCTTGCAGAAGGAAGGACATCCCTGGAAATCTCTTGAATGCCTGTGGGCCGTTTCCCTGGCTCTCTTCTATCTGCACTAATTTCCTCAGCAAGAAGTTGCTGGGCTGCACCTAATATGCTCTGCTATTCATCACATGACCAGCTGTGAGTTTTATAGGTCTTTATGCTCCATTTCCTTTGTAATTACTAATTTCACTTGCAGCTTGAGGGCCTTACAGGTAGTCATGCAGAAGCCCCAGGCATCCAGGCAGCCACCCACTGGATGTTCTTGGCAGCCCGCCCGCACCTCTCCGTCCTGGAGGTCTTGCGGCTGTTGCTCACCCAGTTGCTGTGAGATTTCCAGCTTGGGAGCCCTCAGAAAGAGAACGCTTGGAGTCCTGGGTTCGGTTGCCTCCCTCCCCAAAAAAGACTCTGATGGAGCACTCTGTCCAGGGAACACTCTGCCCCTGTGCCGTCTCACAGCAGTCAGCCTCCTCTGTTTCCCTCTGGGGCTGTCCGCCTCCTCTCGCCTGCCACCCTCTGGGGCGGGGTGCGTGTGCTTCCTCCCTCTGTGCCAAGATCCCTGTCCTTGTTCACTCTGATCTGTCTCCTGGCTTTCTCTGTGGGCTCCAATCTTTCCTTCAGATCCTTATTGGGTCCCAGGGATCCACCTCCCTCCTCTTTTCTGCAAGTTGTTAATCTCTAGCATCCGGGTTCTGAATACAGGAGAGGCTGATCTGTTCTTTTTTTATGCTTCACCTTTTTCCTGGAAAGGATCTAATAGCTTTTAACAGCCTTGCACATGCCAGCTGATTCAAGCTGGTAGGAACAGGTTTAACGGCCGCTGCTTCAGCACTCCTCTTTCAAAACCTATTCTTCAAACCAGATTTGAAGATTTCTCCAGCTGTAGCAACTCATTAGAAGTTAACTGCAACTAATTACCCAAAACTAGTTAACTATAACTAGTTACCAATTGCAAGTAACCTACAAACTACTTAACCACAATTAGTTACACATCACCAGACACCAAAAATATTTAACAGCTGCTAATAACCCAAAATTAGTTAACTAGCACTAGTTTCCTACAACTAGTTGCCCATTGGTAGCTACCCATTAATAGTTATCATTTACTATTTACCCACAGCTAACTAAACATCGGTAGTTATCACACACTAGTCATACCAATTGTGAGGAATTTTTAGTTATCACCTACTAGTCCAGAATTAGTTAAGACATTATTAGTTACCAGTTACTAGTTACCTATAGTTAGTTAACCATGGCTAGTTGCCAGTTATTAGTTACCCACAACTATTTACCTACAACTAGTTGCCCAAAATTAGTGACTCATCACTAGTTACTTGCTACTAGTTACCAAGAATTAGCCATCAATTGTGTTACTATTAACCAGTAACTAGTTGCCCACAATCAGTTACCCAGATTAGAGAATCACCACTGGTTACCAATATCTAGTTTACCCACCACTAGTTACTGGTAACTATCCATAACCAGTTTCTAGTAACTATTCACATAACTAGTTAAGCATAGCTAGGTTACCTAGGTTGCCAATAACTAGTTAACTGAAATTATTTACCTATTGCTAATTCCTTACAGGTTGTCCATTACTGTTTACCCATAGCTAGTTATTAAATACTATTTACCCATAACAAGTTACACATAGCTAGTTACCCACAACTACCTATCCATTGCCGGTTACCCAATATTAGTGAGTGATGTGGAGGTCTCCCTAGCTAGCACATGCTTCCCAATGATGCAAGGTTCGCTGTATGTTTTGGTGTTCTTATGTGTATTCAGCTTTCAGTACAACACAGCCAGGCCTGGCCCCTTGACGACAGGGGGAACTAATGTTTAAATCTGCATCTAAAGAGACAACCATCTATTCAACATGTATATTCATAAAACACCTGCAAGCAGGCGCAGGGGCCAGAGGTTGGATCCGGGGCCTGCCATGCCAGCCCCACCCCTGAGACAGCAATTGAGACTGGGTGTGGTGGTGCACACCTGTAATCCCAGCTCTTGGGAGGCTGTAAACAGGTGAATCACTATGAGTCCGATCTAGTAGTGAGAGCCTGAACACCCTATAGACCCTCCCCTAAAATACAAAAAAAAAAAAATGTATATTCAAACTCGTTTTAATAATTTCACCCTTTTGTAATTAAGATTGATGGCCAGGAAGATAACTCAGTGGAATAAGCACTTCCCTGGCAAGCACAAGGGCCTGAGTTCAATCCCTGGTTCTTCAATAAAAATAAAAATAAATAGTTGGGCCAGGGAAATAGCCTAGCAGTATATGCACCCACCTAGAAGGTGCAAGGTCCTGAGTTTAATATCCAGTACCAAAAAAAAAAAAAAAAAAAAGTTTAGGATTAGTGATAAAGTACATCAGGAAGATTGCGATGTAGGGTATCAGAGAAGCAAAAAGATATAGGAAAAGGGAAGGACTCTATGAGAAAGAAAAATAGAGAAAATGAGATAGCAACAAACAAAAGAAACAGATCAAACTGTGCAGACACTGTTATTCCTGGAGAGGACGGCAGGTGAAGAGGGGTCTGAGAGAAAAGTTGTGGGAGTGGGCGAGCGGATAGAGAGAGGGAAGCGTATGAGGGCACACCAAGGAAAACTGCTAGAGTTGGGAATATGCTGATGGTAATCTTGTGTTCAGACCCTCTACACGTGATCTCAGGGGGGGCGCCCTGCATTACCAGGGGAAGATACTTGTAGAATGAAGCACTGGTTGATTCATATTCTCCCTTCTGTATGTACAGGTACTATTATGGTTTCTATCTAGGTGTCCCCCAAAGCCTCAAGCTCTCATACGTGAGGCTTTGGGGAGATGCCTGGATCTTGGGCGTGTGATGCTAGATTAAGGGCGTGATAACTGAATTCATCCGCTGATCGGATTAGCATAGTTCTAGATTTGGCTGAACCGATTTTATTGAAGATGGAAGACACGCCTTCCTGTGAGTGGCAGCAACAAGCAGGCTTGTAGCCTGAATGGAATCCAAAGGAAAGGGAAGTGGCTGGTGGTGCTTCCTGTCTGCTGCTGGGCCATGGACTGCTTCTCCTCTGCTGCATCCTCCAGCCTCTTGCAGGCAGCTGACTTTGCACGGAAACCGCTACAAAGTATGCACTGAACTGAACCTTTCCTTCTTTAATTTGTGGGTGTTGGGTGTTTTGTCCCAACAATAGGGAAGTAACTAAGACAGCCAGTAACCTAATTTTGTTGTGCTTCAGTTTCTCACAACTGTGAAGTGGATCACAGATCATCTGCCACACGACAAGGAGGAGAATAAAGGAAAGTATGCGTGAAGAAATGAGAAGGTCCGGCCAAATAGCTCAGTGGACTAAAGCACCTGTTTAGGCAGACACAGTGGCTGGGGTTTGATCCCCCGCATGCCGTGCTGGCCTGCCCCCCAGGGCGGGCTGAGACAGCAATTGAGACCCGGTGTGGTGGCACGCACCTGTAATCCCAGCACTTGGGAGGCTGAACACAGGCAGATTATTATGAGTCCGATCTATGTAGTGAGACCCTGTAGAATCTGTACTAAATACAAAAAGGAAAAAAAGAAATGAGAAAAGTACCCGAGTACAAAAGGCATAAACATAAGTAGCAATGTTTTGATCCTGTTATTGCTTATGCCTACATGTTCCCCCAAAGCCTCATGTGATCATAAGTGGGGCTCTTCAGAAGTGGCTGGATTTAGGGTGTGTGCTGCTGGTATTAAGGGTGACCCACCCTGGGTATGAGTGAACCTGCCTTAAAGGTGGGTATGGAATATAAGGGAGAGAAAAAAGGTTTATGGCTATTGCTGCTGCTGCTGCTTCCTGCTGACTGCCTGCCTTCCCTGCTCTGCCATGGGCTGTTTCTCCTCTGTGCTGCCCCACTGCATGCCACCCTGCCTTGAAGTCAGCCAGATTGGAGCATCCGCGAACTATGACCCAAGAGAAACCTTTCCTCCTTTAAGTTTGAGTATCAGGCACTTTGTATCACCAGTGAGAGAAAGATGGCTAAGGCAGTTCACATTGCCAGTCAATGGAAAGCACGTAAGTAAGGTCGCCAGGGGGTGATGGCCTCAGAAATAATGGGGACACTCCTAGGCCACCGACATTGTAAACAAAAGAGGCATGACAATGTAGATTTATTTTACAAGGCATCCCTTTTCTTAAATTCATCTCACAGCTTGGCCATGGCATGAACGCACCAGTACTTTCTGCTGTGAACTCCAAATTTTTCTCCTGCCTCACTACAAGTTAACGGTGCTACAACCCAGAGAAGAGGCCTGCCTAAGGGAAACTCAGTGGGGTTTAGGGGACAGGTCGCATGACGTGGCAGATGGTGGTTGGACAGGAGGCGGGAACAAGGAAACGGGGATATTGTGAAAAGGCTGTGGGAAATTGTGATTTGACCCAGGAGGAGGATGGCAGAGCGTAGCACGCGGCCTCCGTGGCTTGTGCCTTGTCGGCTTGCCACCGTCATGACTTAGAGAATTTTTTATGATGGGTTTTCATCCGTAACCGCAGTTCATTACTCCTGCATACGAAATAGTGTTTTAAAGTCCTGTACCTGACTATAGCTAGCATTAAATCAACCGAAGATTGAACTGAAACTGGACGTAGTAGAGAGCACCCTAAGTGACATTATGCACACAGTAAGGCAGCAAAGTCTGAGGGCGAAGAAGACAGTGTTTCTGGGAAGGACGGGGTGTTGTTATCCCACCCCAGCCCAGGCGGAGGAGGCACAGCTGCATGACTGCTTTAAAGTTACTGGATTTTTTAAAGGAACCCCACAAACTAGCCTTGCCACGAGTGGACCAGTTTTTTCCGTGTGGACCTCGAACTTTCCCACACTTGCCACAAATTTCAGAATAAATCAGCTCCACCAGCATGTGTAAGAGCTCCACTCTGCCCACTCCCCAGCCTCTTCCGATGCCCGCGCCCCCTTCCTTGTTTCTCTTTCTGAGAGAAGACTGAGTGAGTGGAGGACAGGGTGTGAGATAAAAGAGTCGCAGCTCGCAACAGTCCTGGACACAGAGGGACAGCGGTGAACATGGGACACTCCAGCGAGTGGAAGACACAGCAGCTCGGTGAGGCTGGGCCGGGACTCTGGGAGCTATGGAAGGCAGGGTGTGTGTGTGTGTGTGTGTGTGTGTGTGTGTGTGTGTCTGTGTGTGTGTGTGTGTGCCCGTGCACGTGCACGTGTGCTCACACAAAGGGGTGCAACATGGGCCCCAGCATGGCCAGGCTCTGGCTGAGGCTGTGCTCATTCAGAGAAGCTGATTACCAGGACCATTTAAGGCTCCTGATTCCAAGCAACTTCTGAATTCAGTGGCTTTAATGGTAAAATAAACTCCACCCAGACATTTGGCCCTGGGTAGGTGGAGACTGGGGCTCTGGATTCCTCAGTCATGGAGATATAGAGATTGAAAGGGGATCCTCGAGCCCTGTGTGTAATGATTAGACCCCGAGCTTCTGTATCCTGGAGCATATGCTTATGAACCTGGAGGCTCGGGCCTGGGGTCCTGGGTAATGGAAGGTAGACGCTGCAAGCAAGAATCTGATGCCCTGAGGACAGGGAGGCTGAAGACCAAGTTGCCCCTAGGCCAGCACGCTGGTGATTGGAACACCTCACCTCGTCTTGCACAGGATGCATGGGCCACGGTCTCATGGCACTTCACCTCCTCTCCCTCACCTTGCTGGCTGTGATCCTGGTGGTCATGGTAATCCAAGGTCAGGACAAACCTGAGGGCTGGGACCCCTTCAGGCAGGTATGGCAGGGCAATGGTGCTGGAGTTTTGATTGGATCACTTGTCAGCTTCTAAGGGCTTTTGGGGTTTTGTTTGTTTTGTTTTTGTTTTGTTTGGCTTTGTTGTATTTAGTACAGGGTCTGCAGGGTCTCACTACACAGACCAGATTGTAGTGATTCTCCTGTTTCCAGCCTCCCAAGGGCCGGGATTACAGGCACGCACCACCACACCCAGCCTCAGTTGCAGCCTTACTGCATCGCAGGGGCAGGGCCAGCATGGCACATCAGGGATCAAGCCCCGGTCCCTGCGTCTGCCTAAGCAGGCACTTTAATCCTCTGAGCTATCTGGTCAGCCTGTAAGAGGTTTTTAATGTTGTTCGTGCCTCTGGTGCAGCAGAGTGGAGGGAGGAGAAGCAGGGGCTCTAGTAGTCTTTGCTGTTTGGTCTCGCCTGTGGGTCAGATTATCTTCTCTTTAAATGGGATTAAACAAGGTATTGGTCATCCGACGTGATGGGCCTGGAGTTGCTGTGTGGGCCAAGCACACGATAGGTTCTTCATCACTGCAGTGTCTTTTTTTCTTTCTTGGCAAGGCTCGAAGAACCCCAGGTCCCACCAGGAGAAGATCTACCAGGAACTGAAGCAGCTGAAGGCTGGAATCGGTGAGTAACTAGAAACAGCTTCTCCCAGACTCTGGGCGCATCTCTGTGTGTTGTCGCTTTGCTTAAGGGGCCAACCCTGTCAGGCAGAGCAGCAGGTGCTCACAGAAGATGATGTCCTGTCCCTATGCTAGACTACAGAGGCCTTCCTTGTCCCAGGCTGGAGGAGCTGGGGTGAGGAATTCTGGGATATGCAGGGGTGAGAAAATGACTTGGGCTGTGGAGAGGTGATCACCTGCCCAGGTAGGGGGACTTCACTTCTTGGGAAGACCCTGAAACATGGACGTTTCAACATGGATCTAGCCTGTCTTCACCAACAGACCGCCTGTGTCGCCCCTGCCCCTGGGACTGGACAGTCTTCAAAGAAAACTGTTACTTCTTCTCCAAATTGAAAAAGAACTGGACCGACTCCGTGACTGCCTGTGAGGAGGTGGAGGCTCAGCTTGTCATCGTTGAAAGTGCTGAGGAGCAGGTACACCAGAAGGAGGGCCCGTCCTGGCCTGAGCTTGCAGCTGACTGCTGGCCAGCTATGGAAGGGATGGGGGGCACAGTCGCCAGAGGACAGGATGCTTCTTTTGCGTGGAAGGAAAGGAGTAGGAAAGTATGAATGAGAGAGCATAGTACCACGTAGGAAGATACACGTGAATTCTTAACCTGAGTGAACACTTTGAGGAAAGGTAAAAATCTAAATTCACCTTGTTATTATGCTCCATAGTGTTTGAATAGTTCTGTTGGGAGGGAAAGTCCCGGTAATGTATCTTGTGCCAGCTGCCCTGGTGTACCTGTGGCCACCATGATTGATCTACACTGCGGCAGAGAGGCCACTCAGTATAGGGCCAAAGAGAGGCAGAGTGTGACCAACAGCAAGCAGAGCGACCTGGCTCTATCTCGTTCAATCCAGTCTTGAGCAAATTCATGTGAGCCTGCTCAGAACTCCTAAGAGTGACAGATTCCTAAGATGACCCACTGTGCGCGAGGAGAGGCCAGCTGCACACACTGTGTGTGGAGCTCAGAGCGCGTCAGTCCATACCTCGCCAGGGGACAGGGACAGGGACTCAGGCCTGCTGAGCATCCGGGGAGGGAGGGGCCTGGCTTGTTCTGTTAGAAGGCTGAACATAAGACAGTGTTCACAAATTCATGCTGTGAGTCCAGCCCGACTCCTGCTGTCCTTCCAGAGCTTCCTGCATGAGACTTCTAAGAAGAAAGGTGTCGCCTGGATGGGACTCTCGGACCAGAAAGATGAAAGCACATGGAGTTGGGTGGATGGTTCTCCTCTGAAGGAAGAATAGGTTCAAAAAGAAAAAGCACACCATGCCTCTTGCGGGGGAAGTCTGAATCCCCGCGTGATTGGCCCTGCCCCTCTCCCTGGATCCTTGGGCCCAGGAGTGAGTGATATTTGCTGACTGAGGACAGTGGCCTTCATGCCCACGTGTAGGTAGGGCGGCAGCTATGTAACATTTCACCATCAGAGCTACAGAAGGAACTGGAAGTCAGGGTGAGTTGGTTAAAATAGGCACAAGTACTAGAAAATCTGAGGACTCATAAGGCCAACAGTTTGAGAAAATATCTCTACGGATAAGACAGCCTGTTATGCTCCCAGGTCCCAAGACATGTAGTACTCCTCACGCCACAGGAGTCCACAAGGGGCAAACAGGGTAGGGGGAAAGGAGTAGGGGGAAAGGGGAAGCTTCGTGCAAGAGGCTTTCTTGATTCTTTCAGGAGGAATCTGTAGGTTAGGTAGGCAAGCTTGGGATGGGTGGTTTGAATCATATCAGTGAGTTCTGATGTAAACTCTGTCCCTAGAGTTCTGGTGTACAGTGGCCCTCAGCGCAAGAGCCCAAAGAGGGAGGCGGTTGGGGTTTGCAGCATCTATTTATTGGTTTGTGTGTGAAATCACATCCTGACTCCTTTCAAGCACAGGCAATGCTGAGGATCAGGGCCCAAGGCCAAGTGACTGAGCCATGTCACGAGGTGTCCCGAACAAGCCATACTGCCATAGGCATGTGAGGTGGAAGGCAAAGCCCCAAGTTTCTGGGACCTTGAAACAGAGGACATGAGGTCTGAGAGCAGGGTGGAGGATCACGTTAGCGTGGGTTTTGCAGGTTCACAAAGTACTGGATGCCAGGGGAGCCCAACAACGATAACGAGGAAGACTGTGCAGAGTTTAGAAGCGAAGGCTGGAACAATGGACAATGTGAGCTGAATAAATTCTGGATCTGCAAGAAGCCTGCAGCCTTGTGCCCCTAGCAGTGGACTCCAGAGTCAGTCCTGCACTCCTGCAGCCTGGACATGCCCACCAGGTGACAGAATTTGACTCTCATGGATAAGAGTCTTTTTCTCTGTCTTTGAGCAGCACTGAGACCTCAGCAACAGCTTTGGTGCTCTGCTCGGTCATGTTCCTCATCCTTATGGGAAGAGGCCACTGTATACTTCCTCCTTGCCTCAGAGAATGGTTGCGGTTCTGGCCCTGTTTTTGCAGCCTCTTGTTTACTGTTTTTGTTTTCTTTCTTTTTTTTTT